ACACCCTTACCTTGATTAAATCGAAAGCTAGGAGTTGTTCTTGAGCTTTCTAAGCTTTTCCTTCTCTTTTTTCCTCTTCCTCTTTCTTTCTCTTCTCTTTCTCTTATGTTACCATCATTTCCTTTTCCTTCCACTTTTCCTTATATATCTTTCTCTTCTATTTCTCTCCAATATATTTCTTCTCTCAAAATATATACCAATTCCTTTAAATAATCATCCAATAATTTTAATAAATCAATTAATTAACATAAATAATTAATTAATGAAAATTGGGCTGTTACATGGCTTCCTGTTGCCAGCGTTTGCTGGAGGAGCGTCTTCTGGCGCTTCGCCCAGCACCTGCTTGCTGGGGAAGTGACTGTCGAGGTCCACAAAATTGACGCGTGGCAGAGGTTTCTGCTCCTCTGACCGGGGTGGCTTGCCGGCGTTCTTAGGAAGAATGTTGATTGAGTTGAGCCCCATGGTGGCCGCTTCGAAACACCTTCTTGCTGTTTCGATTTCTCTGTGGAGGGTGACGACTCGATCTCTGGTCGTGTAATACTTCATCTTCAGGTGCACGGTGGAAGGCACCGCGGTCAGCTAGGCCAGGGGTGACCTTCTCAGAATGCACTAGTACTGGGAGGGACACTCTATCACCAAGAAGTGGACCTTGACCTGCCTTGTAGTCTCTTCGGATCCGAAAGCGACGAACAGCTCCACGTAGCCCCACGACCTCGTGGTGGTGCCGTTGAAGCCTTGCAAGTCGGAGCCAACATACGACGTTAGATGACTCTCGTCGAGCTGGAGGGTGGTGAACAGGTGGGCGTACATTATGTCCACCGAGCTCCCTTTATCGACGAGAATGCGGCGGACATCAAAGTTTGCCATCTGAGCCCTGATCAGTAGAGGGATGTTGGAATTAGGTGTGCCACCCGGTAGCTCCTCGAGATAGAATCGGGTTTGAGTGACCTTTGAACTTATCGAGGGTAGCGTTTTGCTTCGAGTACTTGTCGATCAGCTCGTCAAACTTCCTCTTGACCGATCCTACCGAGAGCTTACTGGGGCCCTTACCGGATATGACCATCGCGGTTGGGAAGTTCTCCCAAGGGTTGCGAGCGAACAAGGGTGCATCGGCCTCGCAGGGAAGGTAGAAGTCTTATGGTCGGGAGATGCACAGGGTGACCTAGAGCCCAGTTTCACCGGAGGACGGTGTTACCTCCTCGACCTTCTTCGCCTCACGAGCCTCCTGTCGAGGATCTTCGTTCCTCCTAGTATATTGCTTCAGGTGCCCTTCCTTAATTAGGATTTTGATGTCATCCACGAGGTGGATGCAATCTTCTGTGACGTGCCCATGGCTCATGTGGAACCGACAATACTTAGACTTGTCAGTGTTAGACTTAGGGGGTGTCGACTTTGGGAAGCGGACACCGCCTCTTTGGAACTCCGAGTTGATGCACTCGGCCATAATGCGCTCACGGGGAGCCGTGAGTAACGTGTACTTGGTGTAGCGGCTTGCTGGTCCCCTTTGCTCTTGGGGGTCTCGAGGCCGATCTTCACTTTTTTTCTCCACGCTTCGGAGGGCAGTGGAGTCTTCATGTCTCTAGATTTTGAAACTCTCCTAGTTACGTGAGTCGCGAGCACTATTGGCGGTCTCCTTCTCCTCGTATTGGATGTAGGCCTGAGCCTTATGGAGGAGCTAGTCCAACGAGTCGGGCCTTTCGATGCCAACGACCTTGGCGAAATCACTACGAGGTCGCAGTCCTCGCTCGATCAAATATCTCTTCATGCTGTCTGAGGTAGACACTTGGACAACCTCTCGATTAAATCTCTCTATGTAGTCCCGGAGAGATTCTTTTTGCCCCTGAATGATAGCTTCCAGGGATGCCTTGGTCTTTGGGAAGCGGTGAAGTGCCTAGAGAACTGCCTCTTTAGTTCTTTCCAAGAGGTGATGGATCCGGGCTCGAGGCTTTTATACCATGCCATCACACCTTTCCTCATGGTTGTAGGGAAGAGCCTACACTTTATAGCTTCCCGGACGTTTCGGTAGTCAAGCATCGCATCGATGCTTGCATTGTGGTCGTCCAAATCGGTTGTACCGTCGTAGGTATCCAGGGTCGGGGGCTTCTCCATCCTGACGGGGAGGCGTGTCTCCATGATAGCCTTGAACATCGGAGTGCGAGGGTCGTCCTCGTCGCTTCTGATGGGTGATTGTGAGGGGGGAAGAATCGTACTAAGGCCTCCTGTCGCGGCGTGGAAGGCTCCTCAGACGACTCTTTGATTTTCTCGTCTGCCCGTCAACTCTGCTTCTCTTGGGAGCATCACTCTTTCCGGGGAGGAGAGTGGTCACGCTTCTGGGCGGCCATGGGCTAAGGCCTTTCCAGTCGCGGACGACGCCTCGGTTGTCGCATAGAGGGACTCCGAGATTCACCATGTTGTAGCCTCTGCAGGGAGGGGAAGAACGGGTTTCTCGTCTTCGCGGGGACGGGCTGCGAGAAACTGGGCGAACATGTCTTCGCGGGGAAGAGCGTGATTGTCGCTCCTTTTCCAGCATTCCGATTCGCTTGTTCTGTTGGAAGATCATCAAATTTGTCTGATTAATCGGCAGAACAGAGCCACCATTGTTAGTCGATGTTGGGCGGCACAGGGATCGGTTGGAAGACAACCGGACTGCCAAAGCGTTGAGCGGCGTTGAAGGTCGCATCGTAGGGGGAGGAAGAGGTTGTGTGCCCATCCTTGGCGTCACCTTCATTGACGGGAACAGTCACTTTGGGATCATGGTCGTTGCCGTTAGTGAAAGAGGTGAAGGGGGTTTCATAGACGTTGTCATCAATGTGTGGGCTGATCATGATAAACAGAGATTGAAATGTGCTTTGATTCTTGATTTCCTATGAAAGAAAGAACGGGGAAGCAAGATTCCCAAAGACGGCGCCATTGATCTTACCGGATCATAAAAGAATCAGTGGCCAGCAACACACCGTGAACTCCTAATTCGCTGGTGGTGGAGAAGAGGAGGGGGTGTACCTGTAAGGCACTCCGATGCTAAAGTCAATTTCAGCACGAGAGAGAAGGCAAGAACAAAAAAAGGGTGAGAATAGAATACATGACCCTCTAGTGAAAGAGGGTATTTATAATGTGCCCCTAGCACTGGGTCAACAGTTACTTTGTATTGAGTTGGATTGCTAGGTCCAATACGAGTAACTGCTAGGGTCTACGTGGTGTAGGGAAGACCAACACGTGGTCTTCGCCCTGGTTTAACTGCCTCGTGATCTTTTGGAGGTGGGTGACCTGTTCATTCAGACGTGGGTAGTTGCCTGATGTCGTGTCCCCGCGTGGGAGGCATGTGGAGTCCGTAGGGGAGACACGTAAGTGCTCTCCGTGGGATGTGATGAACTGGGTCTTCATGGGACCCTCCCCAACGAAGAGATGGATTGAGCTGTGCCCGATAGTAAGTTTGCTTCTGACTCAGTCCAGAACAAATATCATGTACATTAACATTTAAATTTATCTTGATCCCTTAATTTGAAAGAAGTTTCATGTTAATTCCTTACTTCTTCAAAACATAGCATGTAATTATTTTTATTTAATTAACGATGAATTTAACGACTAATTTTTAATTTTTTAAATTATTAATTAAATAAAAATAATTAATATAATATTGAAGAATTTAAAAATCAATATGAATTTTTTAAAAATTAAGTGATAAAAAAATGAATTTGAAAGTAACAAAGGAGACTAAAAAGTATATTATTAAGTAAAAAATAAACATCAATCAAAACAAAAGTGACAACTAATAAATTACATATTTACAAATCATTAACCAAGCATTTTTCAACATGCCCTTAGAATCTTAGACTTTGTAAACGACTCTACCCACCTATCATACAGTATTATACTATTGCGACGGCAAAAAATAATCCTTCACTTAAACATCACTTATTGACTTTCCACTGCATTATTCCTATTTGTTTAGCCGTTAAATACGTGTTATGTTTAGCTTTTTTAAAAACTTCATTTTAAAAAATGTGAATACTTTAAAATTATTTAAAAACAATCATTTTTCATACCCCATTTTTTTGACAGAACTTATTCAACTTCTTAACAAACTTAAAAACTTATTTATTGCCACCAAACTATATAATTTACTTATATCACATCCCAACTTCTCATTAATTTATTTGTAAAAATGTATAAATAAATTAAAAAAATATCAACTTGATCAAAAAATCTATAAAATCCAAAATTTAATTAATATATAATTAAATATTAATATAAAAGTAACTAAACTTGCAGCCATGTTTTTGTTTGGTCTAAATGTGGTTAGGTGGAGGCCATGACTCAAACAGTTGACCATTTGAAATTCATCTACCCACTTTTCAATTTAAAAAATATTCAACTTGAAAATGTGTTTTTTCAAGACCAGATCCAAATCTCAATAGAAACAAATAATTTATAACTAAGTTCATTTGCTTTGATTTTAAACAGTTCTCCCACAAAATTACACAGTTAAATATGAAGATTTAATTTTTTTATATTTAAAATATTCAGTTAGGACAAAATTATCCCTTATTTTTATAGGCTCAGAACTCATTCATCACGACTCTTTCTCCTTGATGCTTGATTCAACTAGTTAACATACAAATAATAAAATAATAATAATAATTGTTAACCAAAATATAAATAAAAACAAGACAGTTAGTGTTTAATGAAAAGAGACAAAACGAGAGAGTAGAGACTAACTAAATAAGATAATTCCCACCAAACTCATACATAGTATTATTAACATTTACCGTAACACCAATTTGTATTTGAATATTAGACTAAAAAAATGTATGAAAAAGTTACATGTGTTTGAGTGATGCACGTGATGCTTTCACCTACCTACCCTTCAATATTCACTCTTGTCTTCCTCGTATAAAACCATCTCATTCCATACATCTTTCCACCACAACTCTCTTCCAACCCTTTCCTTTTCTACGATAACTTCTGTAAACCAACTGAGTTCTGATACCAAAGATATCAAGATGGTTAGTGTGTCTGAAATCCGCAAGGCTCAGAGGGCAGAAGGCCCTGCGACAATCTTGGCCATTGGCACTGCAAACCCAGCTAACTGTGTTGAACAAAGCACATATCCTGATTTTTACTTTAAAATCACTAACAGTGAGCACAAAACTGTACTCAAAGAGAAATTCCAACGCATGTGTAAGTACATTTTGTTTGAAGAAGTTACTTGTGAAAAATCTGTTACTATGGAGTTTCTAAAAAATTGTTGTACTGATGTAATTTATTTATAACTATTTCAGGTGATAAATCTATGATCAAGAGGAGATACATGTATCTTACTGAAGAAATTTTGAAAGAAAATCCAAGTGTTTGTGAATACATGGCACCTTCGTTGGATGCCAGGCAAGACATGGTGGTGGTAGAGGTACCTAGACTTGGGAAGGAAGCTGCAGTGAAGGCCATAAAAGAATGGGGTCAACCCAAATCCAAGATTACTCACTTGATCTTTTGCACCACAAGTGGTGTAGACATGCCCGGAGCCGATTACCAACTGACGAAACTCTTAGGCCTTCGTCCATATGTGAAGAGGTACATGATGTACCAACAAGGTTGCTTTGCCGGTGGGACGGTGCTTCGTTTGGCTAAGGATTTGGCCGAGAACAACAAAGGCGCTCGTGTGTTGGTTGTTTGTTCTGAAGTCACTGCGGTTACATTCCGCGGTCCTAGTGATACTCATTTGGACAGTCTTGTTGGACAAGCATTATTCGGAGATGGAGCTGCTGCACTTATTGTTGGTTCTGACCCTGTACCAGAAATTGAGAAACCTATCTTTGAAATGGTTTGGACTGCACAAACAATTGCTCCAGATAGCGAAGGTGCCATTGATGGTCATCTTCGCGAAGCTGGACTAACATTTCATCTTCTTAAAGATGTTCCCGGGATTGTCTCAAAGAATATCAACAAAGCACTGGTGGAGGCATTCCAACCATTAAACATTGATGATTACAACTCAATCTTTTGGATCGCTCATCCCGGTGGACCTGCAATTCTAGACCAAGTTGAGGAAAAGTTAGGCTTAAAACCCGAAAAGATGAGGGCCACAAGGGAAGTACTTAGTGAATATGGAAACATGTCAAGTGCATGTGTATTGTTCATCTTAGACGAGATGAGAAAGAAATCGGCTCAAGAAGGACTTAGGACAACTGGAGAAGGCCTTGACTGGGGTGTGTTGTTCGGGTTCGGACCTGGACTTACCATTGAAACTGTTGTTCTCCATAGCGTGGCTATTTGAGATGCTTGTTTGTTTTATTTCATTCTATTACTTTAATCTTGCTTAAATTTTCCTGTAATAATAAATTTAAATTTTTATATGTATCAACAATGTTAAAATAAGTATATTGTTATTTTTATTCATATCCCTTGTCTATTAAATAACATATTTGCTTACAATAATAAAGTTAAAATGTTTTTTCTTGAGGCCAGATTTTATTTTGGTCTCTTTATTGAAAAAATATTCAGATCGGTCTTTTAATTTGACTAACTTGTTTCAAGTTAATTCCATCCGTCAGTTATACTTAAACGATTGTAGAGAGCTCATTCAAGACCTAATTAAATGTGGGTGCTTTAAACGTTTGATCTTAAATAGATTGATGAGAGAGTTTATGAGACTTGCATGCTAGTAATTTATGGGAAAAATGATGAAATTGGGATTTTTGATTTATATAGAAATAAAACCTTAGAATTGATAACCATGAATACTAGAAATATTAGCTTCAAAATAAGTGACTCAAACAATTATAATAATTTGAGAAACATTAAGTTGATTCGTAAATAATTTAGATTATGAATTCTGCGAGATTAAGATGATTTTAGGAGCTATTTTGTATGGAAATCAGAACCATTGGTGTGGATTCTTGATGTTATGGTGTAGATCTTTGATTCAATTATGTAGGAATAGACCTTCAAGATTAACACTCCAACATTTAAGTCAGTTAGTGAATGAAAATAAATAAAGTGAATTATAATTAGAATGAATAAAATTAGACGGCACACGTGGTGACTTATATATTATATGAGGTTTTTGGGCGTGATTTGCACGAGCTTGTGCCTGGTCGAGAACACTTGCCCCCAAGACTTGTTATGGTGTGATAGATGGAAAGTCTTCTATGAAGCTGGGCTGAACTCTTTGTACTGGGATCCAATGCTAAAAAGTTGAAGAGATTCGGGAAACAAACACATTTAATTCTAGTCTCATCATTGAAACGTTTCACATGACTTCCTTACACGTGTCCCTAGGTTTGTAAGCTAGGGCGTGACGCTTTCCCTTAGAATACTTGAGTGCAATCGAGTGTTTTTTAAATTTTGATAACTAGTGTTTTTTGTTTGGTTTTATTTAGTTTTATCTTCATGTTTTCGTATGTTTTATTCGCATTTTACTACAAAGAATGAACATTTTTCATTGTGTTACAGTTATAAGGCACCTGATATTAATTGTTGAAAGAAAAGAAAAAGTAAAAGAGAAGCAGGAAACAACGTCCATGACAGGCAAACTGTCATCCTCAAGTTTATGCAAGTTTGATGTTCTCCATTTATTCTTTAACTGTCATTTTCTCTATTGCGTTTTATTCTTGCTGCTATATTGTTCGATCAAAAGTCTCCCTTTGAACCTTTCTTAATTTCGAAGTTATTTACCACATTTTAGGTTATTATTTTACAACTTTATAATGTATGTTTTGTATGTTTATGCTGTCTTTTCATAAAAAATGTCTGAGCATATTCCATTTAGGTCTGAGACATGAGGTCAATCGTATCGAAGGACCTCATGCTGGTTTCATAAATACCAATCATAACGAGTATAATATTTTGTTTCGTAATTTCTATTTTTAAAATAAAAGATGTTTTCTATGAAAGTAGGAGTACATAAATACCGTTTATGCGCCAAAAGGGCATAAACGATATCCGACTTAGAAATTCTAACGATCGATTTTGAGATTGCAAAAGCATTTCAAAATTGATGGAGAAATTACTTTTACTTTATAGAATATTCTTGAATTTACAATTCATGCTTCAAAAGTAGATGCATACTACAAAAATTATCTATTACCACAGTTAGGAGAAGGGTTCCATGACAGACGGTGACCCGTGGTAACATAGCCATCCCACTTTTCACCATAGTTGGAACTTTATCATTCTTTTGTATAGAGTAGTCGTCACTCTCAAAATAAAACTCTAACATCTCTCTTCCACATGCAGCGAAGTCGTCCTCATAAGCTTTTTCCTCTCAATATGAATCAAAATTCTGAAGATTTATCTAACTAATCTAGTGGGAGTGTACCTATCAAAGAAATTGAGGTTCCTAAAGATGTTGGTGATATGGTTTAGTCTTGGTTAAATAAGGCCAAGGAAGCAAGAGATGTTAGGAATAACATCACCATTGTTAAATTTTCTAGTGGGACACCTGACACTAAGAAGATAATGATCACCAATTTGAATCATGAGAAGATAAGAAAGATAGAAGCTGTTGTTGAAGAGCTAATGTAATAAAATGACTTCGAGTCAGATGGATACTAGGATTACTTCTTGGTTTTAATTAGGCGTGAAGACCGAAGACTTCAATGATAAAAGGAGCTTATGATCCTGAAGATTTAAGTTTTTCTTTCAGTTTGATGACCATTATATCTAGGCATATTTTATTCCTGTTTGTAAATTCTCTATAGCCTCATTGAACTTATGTACAAAAACAAATCTAATTCTTGTGCATCTCTGAATGTTATTCTAGACGTTCTTCTCATGTTTTGGCTGTGTATGTGCTAACATACAAAGGGCTTAATAACAACCGTATGAATTTTTTATAATTTTATTGAAAGATATTTCTTCACAGTCCTTAATAACAACTATTGTAACATATGCTTTAGTCTAATAAATATATTAATTTTAAACTACATATTACCACAATAATTACCAAAATGCGTTGCGAATAATACTTACATTTTATTATGGTTTTTTTAACAGCTGTGGTGATAAGTTTTACACATATATATAAGCAAAATTATCAAGCTTTTGCACAGAAAAACCATCACTCTCAAAATAAAACCCTAATATCTCTCTCTTCCACATACAACACAATCGTCCTCATAAGCTTCTTCATACTAAAAGGTAGTCAAGTTCACACGCTTTATTCTTCTTCTTCTTCTTCTCCATAAGCTTTTTTTCCATGTTATTCATAAACTTTCTTCCATTTTTATGTGTATAGGTTCTTACATTTTTCTTTGTTTTTCATACTCTTTCATTTGGCATTATTTTTGTGTTTTCATTTGGAAGAAAGCTTAGGGTTTAGATTTTAGGATTTTCATTTTACATGATTTTGTGTTTTTTTGGGTTATCTCTAATTGAATCTCTGTTATTGAAATGGATCTCAGTTATCATATTTGTTCCATGTATGACACTAGTTCTTAAAAATATAAGAATCTCTGTTCAATAAAGACATCAGTGTATTAGAAATTACATGGGTTTCCTTTTATGTTAACATGTTGTTAATGTCATGCTAGTTTATGTTTCCAAATCAGGTTAATATGTTGTTTGTAGGGTTACAATGTCATGCTAGTTTATGTTTTCAAATCAGGTTAACATGATAATATACATTTTGACTTGTAGGCGTGGTTCACAAATTGTTTGTGTTGCAATGAAGAAAAATACAAGGAGGACAAAGCTAATATGAAAGTTGCATACTTATGTGAAAGACCCAGATCATGAGGCACAAGTTTATCACTCTCACTTCAGTTTCATCCTCCTTTCATTATGGATTCCATTTTGAGACAAGTATATCATTTTTTCATCTTCCTTCTCAACAAATCTTTTTAATAAAATGTACGTTTGTGAAACATTTTATGAGTTGATATGTTGTCGTTGTTCAAAATGTTTGTCTCAATTTTTAATTTTAGTTGAGTTTCTTATATCGTACGTAGATTGCTTGTTTCACTAACCCCTCACTAAACATGCATTCATTTAAATTGATTTAGAAAACGATAATCTGAAAATTAGGTTATATTTGAAAGTCAACTTAGATCAATCAACGTTTTTCGAATTGCATGCATCTTGTAATTCATCTATCGTTCTTTAAAAAATATAGAATTTGGTTCAATGCCCCAAGTTCATCAAAGCAACAATTCATTTTCTTCTATTTTATATTGCAAAACATCAAATTTATTGATAAACTTTGAATCATCTTCATCATTGTCATCATAATAATCATCACCATCGATATAAACAATGATGATATTAATGATGATGATGACGACTCGAAAATAGTCAACAAATTGATGCTATGAAAAATAGACCTTAAGAGAATGAAATTTGCTTTGAAGAACTTGGGGGCATTAAACCAAATTCTATATGTTAAAGAGCGAGAGATGAACTACAAGATGCATGCAATTCGAAAAACAGTTGAGCGTCTAAGTTATTTTTTAAGAATAATTTAATTTTTTATGTTTATATCTTCTAAATCAATTTGAATGGTTGTATATGTTTATTGAATGTCAAGGAAAAACAAGAAATTCACATACTTTATATTAAACTCATATATATACCACCACGGTTGGAATATATAATCGTGGAGAAATGTTAATTTTATTCACGCTTTAATTAAATTGCTGCTGTTAGATTTTGAACCCATGATATATATATATATATATATATATATATATATATATATATATATATATATATATATATATATATATATATATATATATATATATATATATATATATATATATATATATATATATAAATCAACTTACTCAAAGAGTAAGTTTTTTTAACTTAGTCCACATCATAGCCTTTAAATTGAATCTAATTTAGTGGTTAAATTAACATTTTTACTTATAACTATTCGATTAAATCCAATTTAAAGGCTATGATTGTGGAGTAAGTTATAAAAACTTACTCTTGGAGTAAGTGGGTCCTCACTATATATACTAGCGTCCAGAGGAAAAATATTAATGTGTATGTATATTTTATGAGATATTTATTGTAATTCACATTAAAAATAGCATTATCTATATACAATTGGTATAATTAAAATCAAGATGAAAAATATATACTCATAAAATATGGTTTGTAGATGCTTCTTTTCTAAACGCATGTAAAATATATGTATCTAACTGATTTAAAAAAAGGTTGAGGTTGGAATGAAGCCATATATGGTGAATGAGGTGTGAGCAAGTATTTATGAGAATAGTCTCCATTGTTCCTCTTCCTTTCCCATATATATCACAACAACCATTTAATATA